CAGGGCCAAGAGCCCACACAAGGAACCTTCAGCAATTTAATTTATATCAACAAGCGGAGCGATGGTGATTTATTTTAAACCATGCGACCCACGCCCTAATTGTAATCTCTATAGGTCATTTTACAATATTGCACTTCTAATGGTTTCTTTTTCAACTGCGCCCAATTTTACGTCTACCGCGTATTTCGCTCAATAAACTGAACTGGACTAACTATATTTCAACTGCATAACTATTAACAATTTTATGGACAAGTAACAGACTATCATTTATTCTTGAAGTTAGGAATAAAACCCAACACTTTTAGGTTGGACGACTGGCCATAATTGTAAGGATTTACCTATATCGTCCGGGTGCTTCACATGGTACTGCAATCTACAGCTACTTAAGTAAGCAGTAACACTCTCACACTTTTCATATTGTGGTCCATGAGTATAGGAAATAGCCTTATTTGCCTAGAATTAGGTTTAGCGGTGTTGCTATAAACATCAAGTTTCAGTCATTGGTGTGTGTACCCGAAATGGTCACGGTCGGCCGTCACTTACTTTTATGAGTTTTTCACAAATTTCGCCTGTTCGGGGCTTTTATACGCAATGTCTCGCCACTTTTATCATAGGCGCAACGCTGGCAAATTCAACTACGTGAACAGATGGGTGAAATATGTCCTTTCTGTTACAAACTTCCTATTTGTGGTTCGTAATATTATCTTCTCTAAACAAATATGCAGATGATTGGAGGAATCTTACTAGTCCTAGGAATAATTGCATTCGTGGAATCTGGTGTTATAACTCAAAAGTCAAAGATAAGCATTTTGCACTGGATCTTTAACATCACTGTTATTGTGACCATTGTGGGCTTCATTACCGTCCTGGTCTCAGCCACTGGTTTTATTGGATCCTTGAGGGAGAATCAGTGTCTTCTCAAATTTGTGAGAAAAACTTTCTTTTTATGGCTATTTAGTACTATATATCATTGGCAATGTTATTCGTGTGTGAGACAATCATCGGCATACTCTTCTTCATATACCGTGAAACCGCTATCAATCATGCAGAAGAAATAGTGAAGAAGACCTTTGTTACGCAGTATCGTGAAGTAGGCTTTGAGGATTCCACAAACTTTATGGATTTTCTGCAAAAAGAGGTAAGTGAATGTGTATAGATAGTTGCATCTAAAATTAGACACGGCCTTGCGACATATCAGTGACTGCCCAACTTTTGACATTTCCTACACCCCTACACCCAGCAGACTTTCAAATGTTATTGTTTTCTTCGGTTGGCATGTATATTGGCCGGTACCAATATTTGATGGGTAGTATAACTCAGCCTGATAATGCAGGCGATTACTGTCATAGTTTTTATGTTGTAATGTTAAAACGCGCCGATTAATCGGAGCTTTGCTTAGCATTCATTGTCGACCAAACTTTTTAGGAATAGTCTGCCACTCTTTAGTACTTTGAATGCTCTAAGTTCAGAAAAAAATAGCCAATCTCGTCACCCAAGCTCCTTGCATCAATAAGGTTGCAGTAGTGTGCTAGAGTCTCGTAGAACGTCTCCAACACACGTGACTGTAATCAGATCATAGTTCTCCATTTTAAACAATGTGCATAGGTTTTGTTCAACTTGGGCACATTCTAAATCCCAAAATAGCGAGTGAACTCTAGTTCAACCAATATTGATCTTCTGTCTTGCACACCGGTAAATACTTATACAATTGCCCACCCTTAATCCACCGTTAACTTATCTATTGTTTGCCCATTGTATTCAGCAAATCGTAGCCTCTGTCTTTTGAATCAGTATATCCTAGTGTAGTTTAGCGTGCCGGGATAATGAGATGGATTTCCCGTTGACATATACAAGAGGCCTTCTGATGTTATAGATAGCAAGTCGGCGTGTGGTCTTCCCAAAAAAGAATATGATAACTACAGGAAGCACCAACCTGTCTGATATCGCCTTCTAAGTGCCTTTTTGTCTACGGATATGCAAAGAAAAGCACAAATTAGACTTTGATGACCAGTTATTAACGCTAAAATTGATTCATTGAACAAACAACTTGATTTAAAGCAGGACAAATTGTCACTTTCTTTGCTTTTGTTGGAAAATTCGACTCGGTATACTGAAGTGAACTCTTAAATCACACGGGCGATATTTCGTGTATACAGCAAAGAGTGTGATTACTTTGCCGCAAACACGCTCCTTCGAAAAGACTATATCGTCCCATATGTCCTCATGTTGTATACGATAAATCTACACTTGTTTTCTACTATCCACGACCAGGATGCCCAGGTAGACCTAATGCACCACTTCCGATCGTGGTACTTCATCACCGATCAGGGATTCCTCCTTTTGGAGATTCGGTGAAAGCGCACTGTAGCAAGTGTTTCTGTAATGCGACCCTTCGAATGGAAGGGAGCAACGCGGTAGATGCGCTGGACCAACACAGGGGCCAGATCTAGACACGACATGCGTTATTAGCTATGCACGCCCATGGAAAATTCCAAAAATTGGAGGTGTGGTAGGACGCTTAGATGCAGGCTCACGCTCGGTCAGCCATATACGCTCGATCTCGCCTCCGATCTTCTTGACGTGTCCATGATACCATATAACAGAGGAGGAGAGGGTTTGGTAGATGCTCGCAAGTCTGCTATCACTATGAACTAATTCACGTGCAAGTAACCGTTTCTGCTCCGACAGTGCTGTACAGCACACATTGGACCTCGCCCGTATCGACGGTTAAGCTGTCGTCGTATCGAAACAAGTTTTGTCGTAGTAAGTATCCCTATATCTACCCTTTCGGATCGGTTGCTGCCTTTTCTAAATCGGCTTCGATTTCTTCTTATCCCTCCCGCTACATCTACCTTGTTGTGTACCTGCGCCATGCACCGAGTTAAGTCAATGAATGTTTAAGCAGCTGTTTGAAAAGCAAGTGGTTTCAGCTTAAGCACACATTTTTTGAAAATTTTCAGTTTTAGAGCCATAAACCTTGCGTAGTGAACATTTTCTTTTCCCACCCACCGAAGTTACTGGTCTCAAGTTTAACTTTTAACTTGTAGGTACTTTTACCACAACCCATAGCGCCCAATGTATTTTATAGATATGAACCTGAAGTGGCTAATTTGTGGAATTTTATAGATCCCAGTTCATCATTTCCGTACCAAATCTGAGTGATTTCACACATT